TTATTATTATTATTATTATTATTATTATTATTATTATTATTATTATTATTGCAATTTATTCACTTTGTATTCCAGCTGTAGCTCCCCTTCCAAACCCGCCCTCCCTCCCTCTTCTCCTCCTCCTCTCATGCTCTTTCTCTAGTCCACTGATAGGGAGGTCCTCCTCCCCTTCCATCTGACCCTAGCCTATCAGGTCTCATCAGGACTGGCTGTGTTGTCTTCCTCTGTGGCCTTTTATAGCTGCTCCCCACTCAGGGGGAGGTGATCAAAGAGCCAGCCACTGAGTTCATGTCAGAGACTTCCCTTATTTGGGAGCCTATTTGGAGCTGGAGCTGCCATGGGCTGCATCTGTGCAGGGGTTCTAGGTTATCTTCATGAATGATCCTTGGTTGTAGTATCAGTCTCAGAAAAGACCCTTGGGCCCAGATTTTTTGGTTCTGTTGCTCTCCTTGTGGAGCTCCTGTCCCCTCCAGGTCTTTCTATCTCCCCATTCTTTCATAAGATTCCCTCCACTCTGCCCAAAGTTTGGCTGAGTCTCAGCATCTACTTTAATACCCTGCTGGATAGAGTTGGATACAGAAATTATGGTACATTTACACAATGGAATACTACTCAACAATTAAAATCAAGGAAATCATGAAATTTGCAGGCAAATGGTATGAACTAGAGAAGATCATCCTGAGTGAGGTATCCCAGAAGCAGAAAGAGACACATGGTATATACTCACTCATAAGTGGATATTAGACATATAATAGAGGATAATCATACTAAAATCTGGACACCTAAAGAAGCTAAGCAAGAAGGAGGACCCTGGGTAAAATGTTCAATCCTCATTCAGAAAGGCAAACAGGATGGACTTTGGAAGAGGGAGAAAGCAGGGAACAGAACAGAAGCCTAGCACAGAGGGCCTCTGAAAGGAGGTGCCTCTTTAAACCAGGCTTTCTCGGGAGCTGCGGTGAGTAGCTAGCGCTGCTGTGCGCAGCTATCGCAGCAGACACTCACCTTTGGCTTCCACCATCAGGTACTTGTAGTCCCAGTCGGCCCCGCAGATGACCAGGCAGCGGTACTGCCCTGCGTCTCTCACTTGGAGCCTGGGGATGTGGAATAAGGCTTTCCCCAGGGGCAGCTGCTCCTCCAGCAGGGCAGCTCTCTCAGTCTGCGAAGGGGCGTCGTTCTCTACCTTCTGCAAACTGGCTCTTATTTCTTCCAGGTCAGCGCACTCCCCGGGGTCAAAGTCACACTCCAGGCTCACGTTGCTGCCGACCTCTACGGTGTATACCTCCTTAGGCGCTGTCACCGTGAATGAGGCTGAAAGGGACACACCCGCTTGCTGTTGTCTGCTTTTATGGCACATTTTGGTTCTTCTAAAGTGAGAGCTGCGCCCTCCTCATCTTCCAGGGGACCCCTGCAATCCTCTGGGCATTCCAGGGGTCTCCTCTCTTCCCTTCCCCCATCACATATAGAAACAGTGGAGCCCTGGCCTCACCAGGCACAGGTGGTTTTCTCTCCTGTGGACTTTCCCACACGCACAGAGGATCTCCGCTCCCATTTCTCCTCAGCACCCAGCAGGAGCTTTTGACGAACAGACCTGCTGGCCCCCACCGTCTCCCACTATCTCCTCAGAGCCCTACAGTCAATGCAGAGCATCCGTCTTAGGAAACCACGGCCTTTCCTTAGGCCGCCTCCCATTGAGGTCTGCCTCCAACTTCTTTATTGTCCTATCCTCTGGGCTGATTTTCTTTAGTTTGTAGGAAGTCAGTTTTTACCCCACTTTGCCAACTATCACTGCCTCTAAGCAGTGGTAGTAAGGACACCTCCCACCTCTGACAGAGTTCTTAGGTACTCCAGCACCTCATTTAGTCCCTCTGGAAGCCAGTGAGACAGTGTTGCTACTTCCCTTTAGAAAATGAAAGGAGGTGCAGGATGGTTAAGCTACTTGCCTAAGGGTGCACAGCTAAGACGGGTCCAGGATTGCTCCAACTTTCACGCGCTGTTAGTCTCCAGTTCATACAGACCTACTGTAGATGTTCATTATTTTGGATCAACAAAGTTGAAGGAAAACAAAATGGAACTGCGTGTAGCTATTACAGGCCAAGTTCCACACAAGGTACTTTGTGACTATATTATTTAATTCTGTATACAAGACCTGAAACATGTATTATCATTAGGATTTTATGATTTTGTTCAAGGACATTTGCTCCAAGAATGTAATATGGTTACCATTTGGGGCCCATTGGTGTTTAACTTGAAAAGCTGTAGTTTCTATTCGAAGTATTTTCCAAACTGTGAGGTATATCTTACCAGAGAGATGCAAGATATTTTTATGTGGGTCAAAACCCAAGGCTATAGGGAGTTGAATTATTTAGAAAGAAATCTGTCCCTTTTTCAATTTGATTTCGACCCTTCGCTTTAACTACATATTTTCCATCTGGATTCTTCTTTTTGGAGTGGATATTTCTTCTTTTGCCAAGGCAGGGAGCTCCCAGGAAGATCAATAGCATCAGCAGAGAACTAGCTAAGGCTGCTTTATTTTCAGTGTTTGCTTTTGTTCCTAGCCTCTGTTTTACTAGTGTGTTGCTGGTTTTCTGCCAATTCAGAGTAACCTGTTTGCTTGTATTTTAAAAGCCGAGTTGATTTAAATAGCTCTGTAACAGAGCAGAAACAATGAAGGCAGTATTTGCCTTCGTAGAGTGTGAGAAACTATATGCTGCATCCATCAGTAGTAAATGGGTACCCCAGTGATGGAAGGATGGAAACACCTTGAAATTATTTCGGAATCATCACAGAAAATTGGATCAAATTATACCCGACAGATCCCTTTCATTCATTCGCACAAGAAAATAATCTTATCATCGAATATTTATGGGCTCTTCCTAAATATTTTCATTTGGTGGCAGGTGAGCCTGGGTTCAAATCCCCACAATGTCAGGATGAGTTAGGAACCTTTGGGCAGGGTCCTGTCATTTAACTCCTGTGACTCTGTCTGTTTTCTTTCAACGGGGTTTATCCATCTCTTGGGTCTGTGAGAAAACCTGGACAAGGTGTAACACACGTAATCAGGCACGTCCAGCAGCTAGCAGGCCCTCAGAAAACATTCTTCCAGGTGACAGCTTAATTTTTGGGAAAGTAGTAATTCTTTATTAGTCAGGACAGCCTGTCCCTGCCCCTCTTCCTTCTTTCCTCCCTTCCCCTTTCCTCTCTGGCTCTTCCTCCCTCGTTTCCTTGTTTCGCTGACAGGATCTCACTGTGTGGCCCAGGTTGGCTGTTCAGTTATACTCCTCTTGCCTCAGCCTTCTAAGTCCTCCCATTCTAGGTGTGCCCCAGCACTGTGGTAAACTAGGATGTTCATGTTTTCACTAACCAGGATGGCGGTCCATTCCCTGGCCTGACTCCACAGCATGAGGAACTTTTGGGTAACTTTTGCTGCTTGATGATTCACACACCGCAATTCTCTTTTAGATTGTCTTTGTTAATGAGACAGGGCCTTGCTACATAGCCTGGGAAGGTCTTGGACTCAAGCCCTTTCTGACTTAGCCTCCTGGGTGGTCAGGGTGTGGTACCGCACTCAGCTTCCAAGTCTCTTCTAATCCGAAGTGTTCCCTTCTGTCAGCCTTCAAACCTTAGAAGTTAAAAATAAGACAAAGTTTGCTTTGCTATATTTCTGCTCTATAGTATATTAATCTCAGCTGTGAAGTGAACCTTGGTTATCACCCAGCATACTGGACAGTAGCTTGCACAAATGAGCTTTACCAAAAGTGGCTGGCCAGTTTGTTGCCTCCATTCTGTGCCTTGACAAACAACCAGAACACTAATTCGCATTCCTACAGAGATCTGTGGTACAGAGAAGACGTACATATGCCCAGTGTTTCCCCAGTGTTTGTTTGTACAACATGGGGCCAGGAGAAAGGCTCTAAGGTCTGTGCTCCTATGCAAAGAAAGCATTGCTAATCATGGTGCCCTTGCTGGGTCAGGCTGAGAAGACCCTAGGATCACCCTAGGGAAGACGGATGCTGTGGCTCAGGAATTCCTTTACAATCCCATTCTTTAGACTCCACTGCATGCTGAATCAACAGGTTCTTATGTTCCTTATCCATAGTTTCCATAACAGGACTCTCTCGGTGATAAGATCCATTATTCTGGGAACTGTGATAATCTTCTCAACTTGATGGGATTTAGGAACACCTAGGAAATAAACCCCTGGGCATGTCTGTGAGGGGGTTCACAGAGAGGCTTAACTGGGCAGGGAAGATCCACCTGAGTGGCACCTCCCCACGGACTCGGGTCCTGGGCTAAGTAAAAGTGAAAAAGTGAGGTGAGCACCAGCATTCCTCCCTCTCTGCCTCCTGACTGTGACGGCCTCCTCCACTCCTGCCACCATGGGCTGAACCTTCAGACTGTGAGCTACTGCAGTGTGACCAGGAGCCTCCCGCGCCTGCCACGTGGCTTCCACACCATGACTGGCTGTATCCTCTCAAGCTGTGAAACAAAGTAAACCCTTTCTCCCTGAAGTTGCTTTTGTCAGGTACCTTGTCACAGCCAGGGAGAAAAGTGGCTAAAACAGAAATCATCTCTAAATCCTTCATTCCCTTATAACTAAGAGATACTTTGTACCAAATTCACTCTCTGCCCTGGGGGAAATCATAATTATTTATCATTCATTGAAAAGTACACTAGCTATCTTCTGTGCACTCAGTTTTGGAATTTACTGCTATTAAAGTAAGTTTTCCCCCTTTTAAATTAGATGTCCAAACAGAAATCAGGGAGAGGGGTGGAGAGAGGGAGACAGGGGTATGCAAGGAAAAAGGTTAGTCATGTGTCTGCGTAAGAAGAGCTGGGTGGATGTGGAGATGTGTTTACCACTTTATACTTTCTTCTCGTGAGCAAGAGCAGGCCTCTGACTTCCTCTGGAACTCCCCGTGTCATTACGGCAGAACTTCCCCCATCACTGCCCCGACTTTTTATAAACATATGGCTTCTCTTTTCTTTTCAACCGTTCCCCCCCTCTGCCTTGCAGAGTGGATGCCTCAAGCTTTAAAAATAAGCTGTTTACCTTGCAGACTCTTTTGGGAGGCTAACGTTCACAAGAGAAAAGAGCAATCAACCAACATAAGTCATGCACAGGAATGCCTCAGAATGACTGAGAGTTGTTATTTAGACTAATTTCGCCTCAGTTACAGCTTCCAACACAAGCAAAGCTACAGGGCTTGATTATGCATTATAAAATGGGTAGTTTAGGAGATGCAACATACTTTTGCAATGCTTTAACTTTCGACTCTTTGTGAATCACAAAGGAAGTGAAAACACTTGTAATCAATTCTGTAGAGAGTTCTTCCTCAAGGCTGTCGGCATGTTAGAGTAGCCAAGTGGAAGGCCTCAGCTGGCCTGACAGGGGAGTCTTCCGGCACACAACTTCAGCCCTTTCAGTGTTGTTTCAACAAAACACCTAAGGCGGTGTGCCTTATAATGAGGCTCAGGATGCTGGTGGTGGAGGGCCCAAGATGCCTGGTGCCACCGTATAGCTCTGCCTGTCACAACCTGGTGAAGAAGCAGAAAGGACGGCCATACTCTTGGGATGGCTTCCCATTTAACTACTCACTCCTCAAAGACAGATGTCATTCATTTATTGGACACTTGGGATTACCTTCTGCTAAACCGCATGGCTTAAAGCTTCCACCAAGTTAACACCACTGCACTGGAGGCCAAGCCCCAGGACGGGAACCTCTGAGGAACACATATCCAAACCATAGCAAAGACTTTGGGGTAGAGCAGACATTCATTTTGCAGCTTTCATGGGAGCTTCTGACTCGCACGCAGTATTGAACAACTCTCATTAGGCAAATCAAACATCTGCCATTGCAAACACCTTTTACTGTCTTGCCATCCAAAACATTGCTTTCAGCTTTACCTGAGTGCTGATTAGCAATGCAGACTCCCAGGTTTACCAGGGACCTAGGGACTCAGGACCCGTGAAGTGGATTTAGGCCGTTGGTGTAACTGGGAAAAAGGGATAATTAGCCTCTCTTTAACACAATAATCCCGATACTAAAGGGACTCTTATATCCCCATCTTAGCTGGTTCTTTTGTCAACCCTCCAAAGCAAGTGGGAGATACTGTTCATATGTAACAGGTGAGGAAACGGAGACTTTAAGAAGGACACAGTTTGCTTATGGCCAGTGAGTGGTGGCTGAGGGACTGGAATTCAAATTCATCTCTGTTTTACAATTTGCGTTCATCTTTCTGCTCAAGATGACTCAGCTGTGATACTACCAGCTCTCTACCAGCTCCTACCAGCTCTACCAGCATGAGTAGGCAATGCTCTTGGCTTTGGGGTGAAGTAGATGTGTTTTATATTTC